CTGGAGACTACTTAAGGGACTTGTTACTGTAGGTGGACTTAACTAGCATACACTCAAAATTTTAAGCCTCATATTTTACAGGAAAATATGTCTTTGCTGTTAGGCTTGCTGATAAGCAAAACAGACACCACGGCTGTCTTGCAGCACTCAGAGAAAACTACTTGTGGCAGGGTTATGTTTACAGAAGCTGCTTGCAGAATTTAAAGCTTTCAGAAACAAGCTGCAATAACTTTCAGCGGACCATGGACCTGTAAATTCACCAGGCACACTGGAAGTTTGTCCTCAGACCTGTTTGTTATCTTGTCTGATAGAATATTTAAAATGTGGTAAATGCACCGAGCCTTTGTGAGCCTCCTTTTGCCCTGCCGTGCTTCACACCGCTGGGGGACTGCTCAAATGAAACATTGCTGTGTTGGTCAATAGAGTAAGAGGTTCTCATTAGGCCTTGGTGTTTTTTGGGTAATCTGGAAGATGTCAAGGCTAACTGAGCCTGCTTCTCTGGTTTGGGAAAGGAAGACAGCCACACAAATCCTCTGGGGAGTCATTTGAGTAATAGGAACTTTATGGAGCTTCAAGATCACTGACAGCTGCCCAGACATAGTTCTGGGAGCTGCAAATCTTCCCCACTCTCCCAGCATAATTGGCCCACAGTTGGTGTCTCACTCCTATTCCTCAGCTAAACTCTTTAATTGTGTAATTTTTTTTTTTTGGTGGAGTTTAAACTGTTCCAAAACGATATTAAGAGGGGAAAAAAAAAATGCCCTGTCCTAGAAGAGTTGTAACAATTTTACCTCCCACCTTAGCTTGTTCCAGGCTGATTTCCCCAGGCATCCCCAGGCCTTTGCTCAGGGCCGTTGTTCATATTTTGCTTTGGCATCCCCACACAGTCTTGCTCTTTCAGCTTTTCCTCATGTTCTCTCTCAAACAATAATCCCTTCCAGTATTCCTCGGAGATAAAAAGGGAACTCAGACTCTGAAATAATTTGTCAGGCCAGACATCTACAAGAAAAAAGAAGGAAGGCCCATTCCCTGGAGTTTCCAAAACCTTGCTCAGTTTTGTCAGAAGAGCTTCCCTGCTGCAAGCTCCTTTCTCTGCCCTCATGCTGATGCTTTGGGAGTACCTTGGGGCAGCAGGACAAGTGGGTTTTGTTTAGTCATTATTCCTCCAATATTAAAGAAGTGGAATAACATTAGGGAATACTTCTTCAGATCCTGGATTCTCCTGTTTCTTGGAGCAATTTTTCTTTCATAAAGAAGTTGGAAGTAATTTCAGGGCCTCTCCTGCCTGACAAGTCAGTTTGAGAGGTCAGTGTGGGGTTGTCTGGTGAAGTCCTAGTCCCTGTGTCTTGGCTGCTCCTGGCTGGTGTTGGTGGAGAGACACCAGTGGAGAGACACAGGTCCTCTTAGGGCACAGCTGCTGCTGCTGCTGCCTCAGAGATCTGACACCAGTCAGGAAGCTGCCCCCTCCTCCCTGCAAGGGCAGTGGCACCCTGGGTGGTGGCTCCACTGTAGATATCTGCAGATGGATGCTAGGGTGGGATTCACATTGGTTTTGATTGATTCAGAAATGGAATTTCAAATATAGGGGGGGGGAAATACCGGTTAAGACACTGGGCATTTTCATTACTTGCAGAAGTTTTGTACTGTGTATACCACTGCACTTTCCTTCAGAAAACTGCTTAAACTCAAAGATCTATGTTGGTAATTCACCAAAAAGGGCAGGGATGTGGCACTGGTGTTCACACTTGAGTCATCCCTTCCAGGCAGTGCACAGCGGGCTCCTGCTCTCCCTGTGCAAGGTGCTGCCTGTTGGGATAAGGGATGTAACATAGACTGTCTCTGCAAAGGTCTCCTTCTGAAGCAGGTAAAACTCCTCCCATGAGGTCAAACTGCACTGTGAACAGGGACTTCTCTTTAAGGGCAGAGATCCATTCATTACTGCAGGTGGTTCCCTTCAAGGGCCAGGCTTGCTCTGCAGATGCTGTCCCTGAAAGCCAGTGGAGGGGGGCAGGTATAAATATGTCTCTGAATGTAGGTCAGCTCTGAACTTCCACTGCCACTAAACCAGGTCTCTACTGACTGCAATTAAATGTCACATTGTGTTAACAAGCAGGAAAAAATCAAGAGTGATTTCCTACTGAATAACCCTGAGTATCCTGTCAAGGACAAGGGAGCGGCTAATGAAGCTCATGAAATCAAAGTTTTGTAATGAACCAGATGGTCTCAGCTGTTGAATTATTCACCAGAGAGAATGAGTACCATTTCTTCAGGTGTGCTACTGGGTGATATGTCTTCTTGGCATCTGCCAAGGAAGGCCAGACATATGTTCCCTTTACGCTTTCTTTGTTCTTTCACAGTTGAGAGGCGCTCGAAGAACAACCTTTCACAAGTCACAATGAGATCAAAGCCTGGGGCCAGAAGTACCTGCAATAAATGACAGGTTTTGGAGTGCAGCAGGAGGTCAGACCTCTGTTTAGGCAAATTTTGGAACCTCCAAGGAAGCCAATGTGACATTCAGAAAGGACCCAGTTTTCCTGGAGGAGTGTATTAGTGTTCTAACAAATTCCCCTCTGTGCTGCCATGGGCTCGCCATGGAAAACCCATGTTGCAGTATCAGCTGGGATGGTTTGAGGGGATTCACATCTGTTGCTTCTCTTCATTTTCACCAGGTTATGGACAGCACCTGTAAGTTCTGATTCACAAATGTGTGTGGTTTATAAATCACTGTGAGCCTGTCTGAAAGAGAAATGCCCTCACCCCCACAAAAGGATTTGTGCAGGTAGAATTGCGCCTACCCCTGGATCATCTCTGCAAGGATCCACTTTAGACCAACCTAAGACATCTCCTGGTGGAGTTGTCCAACTGATGCAATAATGGCTCCACATCAGGAACAAGACCTGTCTTCATGTCTTTGTTAGGAGGGGTTGGCACTGGCTGTGGCCTCCATGAGTGGCCTGAGGATCGGGCAGGAAGGAGGCTCCTGGGCTGGAAGCAGTGGACTGGTTACTTTGGAGAACTGATACTCATGCCTGCAGGGAGGGTGGGGAGATGTCCAGTGCACCTGGGGACAGCAGGCCAGGAGAACAGGAGGACAGCAGAGATAGGCAATACCTGTAATGGTGGTGCTGAGCAGATCTGGGGCTGAGTCTGACTTCCTCCATGGCCATGCAGTTCCCAGCCTCCAGGCCATGGCTCAAGGGCAGAATGCCCTGTTCACACTGATTTAATGGTGCTCTCTGTACCCAGCCCTTGAAGAAGGGGGAAGCTGTGGTGATTTCTGTGCAGGTGTGACCTGGGAAGAGTTGTGGAGTGCAACACTGGCATGTGGTTACTGATGGAGATGATCTCTGAGCAGGTCAGGGGCAATTGTGCCTGGGTATGGCAGTGGGTAGACACAGACCCCACACAACATCCCTCAGCACCAGCCTGTCCCTGCAGCAGTCAGCCAGCACTGGCTTGTGTCCCTGGGCACGTATCCAGCAGCTCAGGCATCAGGAGACAGGAACTGAATTCATTTAAAGGTCTGTCCTTTAGGTAAAAGAGATCAATAAAAGAGAAGGGGTAAGGGCAAAATGCAAGACCTCAGAAAGAAAGGCTGTAACTCTGCTCTAAGAGATGTGAAGTAGAAAAGCAGAGAGTGCATTAAATAAGCACTGTTCATTTTCTCCTATAATATCACATAACTACCTCCAGAATGATAAATGGCTTTTATCTACCCTGTATTAGAGATAAGGTTTTCTTTAAAATTACCATGGTTATTGGAATCTTTTTTGCCAAAGATGTATTTGCTGTAGCCTGAAGTGTTTCTGACACTACCTGGCAATCCCAAGCAAGAGATTACCTGAGGGTTTATTAAACTCCCTTACTAACCAAAGAACCAGGCTGGACCTCTACTCCACTTCTGTAATTTGCATATCACCATATTACTTCAGGGAAATAAATGATGGAAGATGTGCTTCTGTTTTGAATTTTAATATCTGAGAGAGGTCATGTAATTTATTTTTTAACCTCTATCTATTGGTTTCTTAAACAAATGATAATAAGCTGCTAGGCTACTTACTCTAAGACTAGTTAGGAGGAAAAACCTGCACGGTGCTAGAACCCATATTTTTATACTTCATTAATAAATCAGGACTTGCAGCTGGACTTCTGCCACCCCGTTATTTGAAAAATGGGAGCTGAGCCATTCTGCAGTGCACTGAGCGTGGCCACTGCAACACACCAGATATTAGTTTAGGAAGCCCTGGCAGCCTCTTGCATTTTGATCAATCTCCTCATGGCTCTGCATCGTTAAACAACTTCAGTACTTAATGTATGAGGGTTGTAGCAAGGCTGGCTGTCACAAAGAAGGCATTTCTTACTCATTTTTCAGAGGTTGTGGATCTCTTGGATTGTGCATTACAGGTTCAGGGATGGAAATAGGTAGCTCAACCCTGAGGAAAGTGCTGTGCCCAACATCTTGGGCATGAGGAATTCTACACATCTGCATCAGGTCATCTTGGTTTTGATGCAGGGCTGAGGGCATGGTGGGCACCCTCAGTGCCCTGCCCTGGGTGTCTGCAAAGCCCTGCTCCGGGTGGGATGTGCAGGAGCAGAAACAGGAGCTATTTTATAGAATCATACAACATCTCAGGTTGGAAGGGACCCAGTAAGGATCATCAAGACCAACTCATTGCTCCTCACAGAACCTAAAACTAAATAAGAGAGTCATGGAGAGATTGCCTGAACTCTGACAGGCTTGGTGCCATGACCACTTCCCTGGGAAGCCTGTTCCAGTGACTGACCACCTTCTGGGTAAAGAACCTTTTCCTCATAACCTATCTGAACTTCCCCTGACACAGTTTCATTCCATTTTTTCATGTCCTGTCACTGGTCACTGGAGAGAGGAGATCAGCATCTCCCCCTCCACCACCTCCCCTGAGGAAGCTGTAGACTTGGAGAAGTCGGAAACCAAAGGCAGTTAAAAAGTCCACATACCAAAGAATGAAAGTGACATCTTGTATTTTAATGAAAAGTTTAATGTCAAAATTCATCTAAAGATAAGAAAAAATCCAACCTGCTATATATTTTTAGCTCCCCCCATTCCTTATCTCTTTGGGGAATGTCAAAGGCTCCCAGGGGCACTGCAGACAATCCACATTCCAGCAGAGCCCCAGCACAGCTGCAGTCCAGGGCATCTGCTTGGGCTGCCACCTCTACCAGCATTAGTACAGATCCAGGCTCTGGCCTCCTTATGCCAGGGAGAGGCAAGGTGGTGAGACACAGCACTGAAAAGGCACCAGGAAATGTTCAACTAAACCCCAAAACAAACAAAAAAGCCCACGTTGCATTTTTGTCTCTTACATCTATCTCACTAGATCAAAAACCACTTGCTGCAGCCATTGCATGAGTAATTTCAATCAAGCTGTTCTTTGAGCAGATGAACTAGAGAAGCCCTGTCTTCTGTGGCTGAAGGCTCTTGTGGATGAGGAAGGGGAGCGCTGGCAGCAGCTTATCCAGCAGCTGAGTGACTCTGTCCCACTGTCTCCCATTTCAGAAGTGTTGAAGTCACTTTCTGCTCCCAGATTAGGTTAAAAAACCTAGGTCAGGGCACTCAGAACCTGCTCAAATAAATAGGTAGGGACTTTGTTTGGTGGTGATTTCTGTCTCTGCCAAATTCAGCTGAAATTTGCCAGTGGGCTCAAGAACATATTGTTCTTGCCTAAAGTTTGTTCCATCGGAAACAAGGCCAAAGTAAAAAAGTTGCAAATCAAAGATAATCACTTTACAGAAAAGTAACACTTGACACTTTCTTTAAAAGACACCTCACCACAAGCACTGTCCTGCCCAAGGGCTGGTCCAGCTCAGCCAGCAGAGCTTCCTGAGGCAGCCCCAGAGGGATGCCCTCCTGGCTGGCATGCTCAGGCAGGGGGCAGCCTGGAAAAGCCATGCTCTTAGCTCCCCCAGACAGAGCTTTACAGAAACCTCTGTCCTCTGGGACAATGTACCCACTGGCAAATATATTGCTATACAAATCTGCACCATGTATCTTCTCCTAGTGCCAGTTCTTTTCACAACATATAAATATAAAAGCCAGTTCATTTTGTTAGCAGTCACTGCGTGCATATTTAGCAACTTTAGCCAGTGACACCAAAATCCTCTTCAGTAACACTATGGGGCCAGATGGCTCACAATCACACATCATAAATTCTTTTCTGCTATTTCCATCTTGTATTTACCCAGCTCAGTGTGTAACAGCTACTGGCGTTGAAGGCTTCCTTTTTCAGAAACATCTGTGGTTTTGATAAGTCTTTGTAGGTGTGGAAAAGCCTGAAGTCCTTCAGCTCCAGTTCTCGGAGCAGGCTGTACCAGTACCGCACCACGGTGCTGTCATTGCCACTGACCTCAAACCCAGGCCAGTGGATGTGCACCTCAAAGACCAGCTGTCCTATCTGCTCAACAACATCTTCCAGGATCAGGTTTTCCAAAATTTTCCACTCAGCACTCTCCACGTCTGCCTTGAGGACGTCGATCTGCAACAGAAGCACCATTTCTATGTGAAAATGAGAAACTTTGCAGTTATAGTTACATCTGGGGCTAGGGTTAGCCATTCTTCAATACACAGATATTCATTCTGTATTGAAAAAATAAATCAAAAATCTCAGAGGACTAACACAGGCGGTACAAGGGGTTTCACACTTGACTGTTCACAGCCCTTCTCCTCCTGCCTCAGGGTTGAAAAGCTGCATATTCCAAATGCCTCCTACAACCAAAGCATGTTACTGGTTCCTTCACAATTCTTGGGTGGCATCACAGCTATGAAAAAAAGAAACAGAACCAAACAACAGACCCACACCCACTCACAAGGATTACCTGCACCAAAGCTGAGTGGGGTGCTCATGAGCCATATGCTACATGTCACACAAGTGCAAGAGAAGACCAAAGTAAAAAATGAACGCTGTGAGCAGCTCAGGTGACCAGCTGCCCTTGGCCAAGCTGCTGGCTGAAGCTTTTCCAGGCATCCCTACAGATGCTGAAAGAGGAGAACCAAAACAAAGGATAACTATGCAAAGAGTCTTCAGGATTTTAAGGGCAGCTCCTCCAAAGGAAAAGGCATAGCAGAAAAGAAGATGTGAAGGTGTTTGAAAGGAATAACAGATCTAATAGAAAAGTGTTCTGGTTTTAGACCATTATTTAATTTTGTAGTGAGATATTCAGGAATCCATCTTCTCATAGCCCAACACAATTGCGGGTTGACTTTGTTTGGAGATTAGCTGGGGGAGGTGAGCTGATGCTTTAACATAAAAAGAGCATTTCATCACCATTTCACACCTGGTAGAAAACAATGACCACAGTGCAGCAGTGGTCACACAGTGCAGAGCTCAGCTTGTTTTCCAGAGCCCAGCAGGGGAAAGTCCTCCACTGTGAGAGTAGGGTTTGCCTGTGCCAGTTCCACCTGAGCTGATGCTTCTGCCCATCTGCTCACACTCAAGATGGGTTTGAAGTGAAAATCTGACGACTTTATTTAGTCAAGAATTCCTAAAAAAAAAAAAAAAAAAAAAAAGAAAAAAGAAAACCCCCAAAAAACTCAAACCACAAAAAAACCAAAAACAAGAAAAACCCAAAAATCAAAAAAAACCTCCCAGATTCTCTCTGGCAGTCTACCTTAACCACTTGTGGCAGTATCAAAAAGAGCACTTGTGTGGGTATAGGAAAGAAATTTGGGCAGGTATTGTAAAAGCACTTCCAAGGCAACTTTTCTCCCAAGTTGCCCCATCCCAGGGCAGCTGGCTGGTGTCATGCATGCCATGCCCCCTCTGTGGGGCTCACAGACCCCTCTGCTCTGGGCACAGGGCAGGGGTTGTGCTGTGAGCACATCTCCATACAACCAGAGCTGTGCTTTGCATGGGCCATGGCCAAGAAACCACAGGGCTGTGGCAAAGGGTGGCCACATCTACCTTCCCTTGTTCCATGGACTGCTGGCTGGGGATGCCAGGGGCTGAGGTGCTGGGGTGCAGAGCTCACAGCCACTCAGCCCTCCTCAGGGGCTGTGCCCCAGCACCATGGATGGGCATGGCATGGCAGGAATCTCTAGGTGCTGGACACTTGCCCATTCTGGTCTCCATCTATAAAACAAGGGTTGAGCACATGAAGGGCTGTGAGATTCACATGGAACAAGCTGTAAACCAGCTGGAAACAAAACACCACATTTTCAGAGCAGGACTTGAATGAGGTCCATGGTCACAGAGTGAATCTTAATAAGCCAAGCGACCGCTTGTCTGCTCATTAAGAAGGCATTGTGCCTCCTTCATTCTGTAGGAGGCAGGGGGCCAGTGGAAAATGACCAAGGGATTGTGGAATTAAAGCCCATATTGTGGTATGTGTGCATGGGGAGCAGAAAGGAAGGTTGCACAGACAACCTTAGCTCTGGTATTTCCTAACTTGCCTCTCTAACAAAGAGCCTGTCAGTCTGTCCATCCGCGGGTCAGTGAAAGAGTTGAACACAGCACTCCTTTGGGTTCAAGGGGAGGCTGAATTTAAATGATGCAGCTCATGACATTTCAGCTGGTGGGTGAGCCCACTTGCTTTCCTTCATACATTTAAATTGGTTATTTATTTTGCAAATACCAACTCATATCTCTACCTGTAATGCAGTTTTGCAGGCAGTTGGTTCCACACGGGTGCAATTGCCACAGGACCACACGGCCACACTTAAGAAACCACAGATTTTTATCTCTGGGAGACTTATGTAACTTTGAAAGCAGACAAATTATTCAAACCCTTTTTTTTTTTCATGGGGGGAGAGGGTGGAGGGATAGGGGAAGAAATGTTTCTAGGCATTTGGTTTTGTTTTCCCATGCTCTTACTTTATGGCATCAGTGGGACATCTTTTTCCCATGGTAATGTTTCCAGTCCTTCAGGTTTGTTTGTTTTTCTCTGGTGACACTAACTGCTGCTCTGGCTGCTCAGCAGGCACTCTGCGTGCTTTGTGCTGTATTTGCAAAACTGATCTGAAAAGTGGCTGGTAACCAGTGTTTCAGTAGGAGAAAATGAGTTACCACAATAACAGCTTGAACACATAATGAAATGACCAGGAAACAATCACAAGGCTAGTGGAGAAGTGCTGCATACACAAACCAGAGGCTCTTTGTGGCTCTTAGTGCCCTGCACTGCTCAGAAACCTGGAGGGGGAAAGGAACCTGTCTCAACCCATCAACTTTTGTGACTGCCTTCCAGGCAAGGTGTCCCTCTCTGCCCAGAGTTTCCATTGCATGCCATGGATAGTGTAAAATGAATGGCAGAACAGCTATGTTTAGGCATATCTGAGCAAATTGCAAGCATCCTGCTAACACCAAATGCACATTTTGTGATGATTAGACAGCTCAGGAGATATTTACCATAGGTGATAAGCAGCACACTACCGATAAGAAATGCACTATCACCTTCCAGTTGCCTTGATCCAAAGTGCCAGTGAAAGGATTAGTGGACAAATCTATAAATTCAGAGCTCTAATTCGCCCGGGAGCACAGCTGGAGTCTGCTGCTGTGAATAAATCCTGGAGGGCAAAGATCTACAGTGCCTGAAGGTAAAGTATGGCAGTGAGTTTCAAGCAGTTACAAAGACTGGTTCCTCTTATCTTCCACAAATCCTCTTATCCTCCATGAACTAACTAGGTTATCACAGAAAAGTAAAAAATGTGGATTTTAGAATGTTCTCTTATCTTCCACAAATCCTCTTATCCTCCATGAACTATCACAGAAAACTAAAAAATGTGGATTTTAGAATGTTCTCCCAGTTTAGCTCCCTTGAAAAAGCACTGCAGCATGGTACCACTTACACTTGGAGGGAAAAAAAATGGGGGGGAGGGCATGCTCCTGCACAACCAAGCATATAAAACAGCTGAAAAATTGTGTTTTACTTAGTGAAGGTCAACATATACTGTATGAAGGCTCATTTCTTCTTTTTAGGGTAATGACTTGTTACAAGTATGCATCATTTCCTAAAGCAGAGATCTGAGCTCTGTTCACCTTGACCGCTTTTGAAATACCGGGGTTAACGGGGATTGCAGGCTCTGTGCTGCCCCGTGGGCATCATTTAAAGCTCCCCATGGAGAACAGTCAATTGAGAGTGAGTAGCTGGAGGAAGCAATTTAGCTGTATTACTTCCAGCATGAGCTCAGCATGTGGAAGTGGAAGCCAGGAAAGGCAAAACCAGCAAATGCAGGTCAGGTACAGAGGATCCCTCCAGTTCTGTGGGAGCAGGTCTGCAGTGCAAGCTTGGGAGGAAGGAGAGGAGAGCTGGCTACAGCTTTCAGGCACAGGGACAGAGCTCAGAACCTCCTCAGCCTCCTGAACTGCAGGGCTGCTCCCACAGTGTGAGAGAAAAATATTCCTCTGCTCTGGCTCCCTGTGATACCAGGCTACCATTCTGACATCAGCTGTACAGCAAGAAAAAGTCTGCTGGCCTGTGCATCAGTTTTCCCCCTCTGTTCCTAAGTACAATTCTCTATTCTCAGAAAACAAAACTCTAGAAAAAGTTGTTTAATTTACATTTTGATAACATGTCTTTGCAGGTAACAGCAGGTGCTTGGGTGTGTTTTGTTTAACTGTAACTTCCCTCTTATCCTTTTCCCACATGCAGATTTTCAGCATGATACTTCCCTCATTTTCTTTCCTCTCAAAATACATCCACAGCCCATCCTCACCAGCAGGAGATGGCTTGGATGTAAAGTCCCTTTCATTCCCTTTTATTCTAAGTGAAGGCTGTAACTGATGGCAGCCAGGATGCCACAGAGCCTAACAGCAAATTATGCTCCCAGCAGCTTGTGACTGTCTCTTCCCATGCTCCCTGTGAGCAGTGGGAGGGGGAAACATCCTGCCTCTCTCTCAGCCATCCGCTGGGGAGACAGGACTGCTGGGGGCCTGGCCAGAGCAACACGAGGGCTGAAATCAGGAGAAAAGTCAATCACCACTGCACAGTGATGTACAGCTCCAACCGGCAGCTCTTCTCTTTCAAATTACTCCCCTTCCTTCCTGCTCACATTTACACCTCTCTTGGTGGTCTGTGCAGCCAGTCTCAAACTGGCTCTGGAACAAAAGTGTCATTTGAGATTATACACTCCCAGTGTGGCATATCGGGCATGTCTTCAAGAATCTGCTTAAGGCATCAAAGTCACAAAGCTGATTTGTGCAGTTGGGTGCTTACAGGGTCTTTGGTCTTTTTTTACAGTAAAGGGCAACTGTCCAGTTGAAGTTACTCATACAATATCCACATCACTGGAACAGAAAACCTGCACTGAGTGCAGGCAAGCTCTGTACCTCTGCTCTCACCACTGATTCTCCACAGCCTCACAAGTGACAGTCTGTTCTCCCAGCTCTGGTGATGTACTTCCATGAACCCATTACACAGCAGGAGCAGGATATTAAGTAATGCTATGTTTACGACTTAAATCAGAGAAAATGTTTCAAAATAATATGTAAAAAAACTTATTTAACTTTCTCACAGCCAACTATCAGTACAGCAACAGCTTGCC